TTAGAGACGGCTAGCTCAGATAGCCCTCGTGTAGCTTTGCGCGAAATTCAAAACAAACAAACAAACCGACAGCTTTCTTTTCAATCGTCTCTACTCTCCAGCACCATTTCTAACGTTCCCATGTTTCTGATAGAAATATAACTCTATGTTTCCTAAAGTAACGATAAGGTCAGAGGTTCCGGTGCAAATTCACTTTAATATATTTAGTTTTTCCTTACCCCTGGGAGTATTTTATTTATCAAATTTGAAAATATTTTCAAAACTCGGTACCATAATTTATCGAAGCTTATTTTGAACTTACATAATTTCAAAGTAAACAAGCAAGATGAGCTGTTTAAAAAGGAATATATTTATATTAATGTAATAGATATAAGTGTCTACAATATGTTCTAAATTTTATTGAATAAAGTAATTTACTTCTCAAAAACGATGTTCAGAATTACAATTAACTCTTGAATACTTTTGTAAAATCGACAATATAGGTCAGGAAAAATATATATTTTATCATAGTTACAAATACCACTGGTTTACTAAGGAATATGCTGATAAAGGAAATTCAGTTACGAGGAAAAGCAACACATTTTAAAGTTTGTTTGGGGACAAAGATAAATATGGACATGATTTCTAAAGGGGCTATGATAACTCCTCATAAGGAAGTTTTTGAAAACCAGGTTAATGCTGCTGAAAAAAATATTTTTCAATTCTTTTCGTCTCAAAACGTTCAACGTGAAAATGAGGAAAACATTTATTAGAGATTTTAAAATTATTATAATTGTCCTAGGTATTATTGAGTGATGGAAATATTTATCTAAAGCTTGATATAATCCGAAATATAACTTGAAAGAGCACTGGAAAATTTCTACTATTTCTATATTTTATCTAGTTGTCCATGGGTTGTTCGAGGGTTAAGTTCAAAATGTTAGCAGTTTAGTACTAGCCTTTTCAAATAAAACTCATATATATAATTTGTGATATTGAAAAACCTAGCTGGATGGAAGTTCTTGTATGTAAACTGTAAATATTATAATAGTTCTAATCTGTTACAAAAAAGACTTAAGGAATCGAAATTTCCAAATTAAAATATTATATTATTGCCATTCACTCGGTGGCTCAGTGACAAGTTTGACAGCTTGTACGCTAAACAAATATCGGGTTTCGCTACTCCTTGTGGGCGCAGTGCAGATAACCCATTGTATAGTTTTATTCTTAATAAAAACTTACCATTAAAAACAACTTGAAAATATTCCATTCCATCCAAAAATTCACAGTCTTCAAGGCTAAACATCTTGAATATGTCCATGTCGATACCGGTATCTCGAAATCCAAACATGTTGAACTGCTTCCTTAAAGTTGGCTAATGTAAATTGAATAATATTATTTTTTCTAATCGTCCAAATTGTAGCATTCCTTAAGTGACTACGTGAGTGATAAAAATCGAAAACAAAGAAAATACGACACTGTCGAATGCAAACTGTTTGAGTTTTATGTTTGGAATAAAATCTCAGTATTTCACATCAGTACTTTTAAAAACACTTTTCGAGCAATAGTTGCAGGTGTAATGTCTATTGTTCACAACAATTTAAGGTAGCGAAGAACACATACTTTACAGTATTGTTCCAAGTTGTCCGTAGTTTTACAACTAACTGTAGATAGACACGATTCTTTAAAACCAATACTTACAGGCTCTCCTGTTTTCTCATATCCTGTTATCATGAAACGGACTGGTCTTTGCTCTTCTGTGACGCCATCTACTATTGCTTCCCACCATTGCTGAGCAACCCAATAACAATGACAAAAAAATAGCAATAACAATATATCAATATATATTTTTACGGCAAAAGGTAACATTCAAATATCCTCAGAAGCTAATAACGTTTATACACAGTTTTAATGGGTAAGGAATAAAACTGAATTACAAGTTTTAGACAAAAACAAATGTGAAACGTTTCTACAAGGTTTTTCATTATCACTTCGAAACGTTGTATGTTTGTTACTATGTTAAGTTTGTTAGAAAGTTCTCTTCGTTACTCGTTCAAGCCTTCTCTAAACTTTATTATTCCCAAAGTGTGTTTCTCGTTATCAAATCCTTAGAATATATCTGTTAGAAACTAAGTAATCAAACCCTCAATGAGAAATGCGACTTTCTCTCATGAATTAGTAAGAATAAACAACCCTAGCGTAGAATTTATATTTTAGAAACTAAGTTATCAAATCCTGAATGAGAAATGCAACTTTGTGTCTTGAAGTAGTAAATATAGGCAGGTCTGATGTATAATTTATTTCTTAGATACTACTTAAATCCTGAATGAGAAATGAAACTCTCTGTCCTGAAATAGTAAATATAGGCAGGTCTAATGTATAATTTATTTCTTAGATACTACTTAAATCCTGAATGAGAAATGAAACTTTCTGTCCTGAAATAGTAAATATAGGCAGGTCTAATGTATAATTTATTTCTTAGATACTACTTAAATCCTGAATGAGAAATGAAAATTTCTGTCCTGTAGTAGTAAATATAGGCAGGTCTGATGTATAATTTATTTCTTAGATACTACTTAAATCCTGAATGAGAAATGAGAATTTCTGTTATATAGACAATTTTAACGTAGAATGTATTTGTTAGAAACTAAGTTATTAAATCCTGAATGAGAAATGAGAATTTCTGTTATATAGACAATTTTAACGTAGAATGTATTTGTTAGAAACTAAGTTATTAAATTCTGAATGAGAAATGTGACTTACCGTCATGAAGTAGTAAGTATAGACAACTCTAACGTAGAATTTATCACCCATTGTAACATTGGTTATTACACTTTCCCAGACGTTGCACCTTATCCCTCGTATGGTCTCCTGGAATTTACGTAACTCTATAAATATTAAGCGATAATCGTTCGGCAACTTGATGATGTTTAATTGATTACTTCTATAAAAATCTTATATACAATGGCAACCAGATTTTAATTCAGGTTAATTAAGTTGATCTTGATATTGGAATTAAGTTAATGACGTCAGTAAGATAGAATAGATGAAGGCAAGTCACTTTCTTGAATATTATTGCATGGTTGTTCATTATATAGTCGATATGGATATTTCTTCAAATGATCAAAGATTTAAGCATGGTATGAATATTAATCAAGAAAGAAAATACATTTCAAAATATCTGTGTAGAAGTATTAAAATAGCTGTTGGAACGAAAGGCAGCAATACATGAATGTAAGTGTTGCTAATAAAATTCAATATAGGTGATAGTAAAGTGATAATTTTTGTGAATAATAACAGGTTTTTCTTTATCTTCTACATTTTACAATCGATATGGCTATTTCTACAAGTGTCCAGAAGTTCCGGTTATCTTATACTTAGATAGGGAATATTTCTGGAATTAATCAGATGTTTCTGTTTTCTTTTATGTGCATGATTAATATAATATTCGTTAAATAAATAACTACAAGTTTCTGATTTCTTATAGTTACATAACAAATATGGCAAGTAATCATGTAATTCTGTTGCCTTATACATTCAAAATCAATATGTTAATTTCTGTGAATAATCACAGGTTTCTTTTGTAAATATTAAATACGATACTTTCTTGCATATGAACACGTATTTCCGTTGTCTTAAACTAACACAGACAATAAGAAAGTGTTCATAAATGGTCATGAAGTTCTGTTACTTTTTATGTATACAGCCAATAACAGAGTGTATTGATGATTAGGGGTTTGTTGCATTATAGGTACTTACATAGCCAATATGATAGTAAGCCCCTGTTAAAGACAAGAATTCTTCAGTAGTCTTCAGACTTCCAACAAAACCCCATCCAAGTTTCTCAGCAGGTGACCCTCTAATTGGTCCACGGCTACACCGTTTCTCATTGTCTATATTGTAGGCGATTCCTAAGCGTTAAAATAAAGAAAAAGTAACATTAATCTAAGTTTGTAAGCCAAACAAATCACGAGTAACTAAGCTCAAGTAACATTAATCTAAGTTCGTAGACCTAACAAATCACGAGTAACTAAGCTCAAGTAACATTAATCTAAGTTCGTAGACCAAACAAATCACGAGTATCTAAGTTCAAGTAACATTAATCTAAGTTCGTAGACCAAACAAATCACAAGTATCTAAGTTCATATTACGATTTGTACTTTACAACATTACTACCTTATTTTCGTATTTATGCCATTGTATAATTTTATTCTAATTCTTTATTGTGATGGTGCTATGGTATATAACGTTATATAAAGTAAAAAAAAATTGGCTGTTAGGTAGCGAAATGAGGCGGTTCAAGTGTAAAATACAGGATGTTTTATGCCGACTATTGTATGTTTAATCCAGTTTTGATTACATTCTAGGAAACCACAAGTAATAAAATTGTCTTTTATTTATATTAACAAAAATAAATATAGAAACAAATTTATTTTATTAACTAAGATAAAACAAAACACGTTAGATAAAATATGTGCGTTTGATATTATAAAGGTTGCAATATTTGACATTTATTTGTTAAGTAAATATCATTAAATACAAAGGTCTCTATTATGCTGTGTCAAATTATCACGTTTAATGGTGGAAAAATCTTTGAAAGAAACTATTTCTAAAAAAAAAATATTAGAAATAAAGATACAAAAACCATTTTTAACTTTTCATTTCTGATGATTTCGTTGTAACAGAATTATTTCTCAATCAACTCTGAATAAAAAAGAAAAGAGGGTTTAAGTAAATCACAAATAGTAAAAAACGTGAACACCATATCTATTTTTAAATGAAATTTACATAAAAGCATATTCGCGCTAAATTTTGATGTTTTCCTAAGATTAATTCTGCTGTTTCTAGATGTTCTACGTATCCCTTTTCTAACACATGATGTTCTCTACAAAACCTGAATCTTTAAATTAATTACTTTTAAGATAAGGTTGTTTTTATTATACGTTCATCATTCAGGACTTATTTCCAAGATAAATTCACGTATTTTAGCTGTCTGTATGAAACAAACAATAATAATTGTTAAAAGTAAATAAAGAAACTCTGTGACTTGCGCTCATTAAGTATTTTATCTGTTGAATTTCGTACAAAGGTATTCGAGGGCCAATTCTTTAACAACGTCACCACTTTTAAATGGTAAACATTTTCGGTGAGGATTTCGATCCTGCGACCAACCGATTGTAAGTTGAGCGCCCTAACCACTGGGCCATGCCAAGTGCTTCCCTAAACACAAAGGATAAGAAGTTACTTCTGGTTGAAGAACAAATTAGGCAAACTGAATACAAACCTTCACATCTCCAACTAACACAAATGAAGTGTTTAAAAATATGATTAATGTTCAGAAAAAAAAGGGATTTTATTGACTGTAGGCCAATCATATCAAATATTAATCACCAAATGATACATTAGTAATGCTAAGATTGTAAGAAATCAGACATCACTTCAAAACAGTGTATTCCTCCTAAGTATGATGTACTTTATTTCCATGACCGTCATCAGACAAGTTGATAAAATGCAGATGCTGCCAACTTATTTATTAAGATTATCTGTTGAATGTAGGTGTTATCCCACAGACCTTTCTGGAGAAAGGTAAAATGACGGAATGCATAAGGAGTTAAGTGAGAACTACATATAAAAACTGCAGTGAAAAATCACATTGTCCGAAATTAATCATTCACACACCACTTATAGTGAAACAAATTGCAAGTAACATATAACGATCTTTTAACACAATCCATTCGTCGGATGGTACTTACTAATATGTGCGTGGGATATATATGTATATATATTAAACCACGTCTGTTCCTGATCATCTTTTATAAAGCAACTATATCATTTTTCTTGAAGATGCACAATGACTACTTTTAATGCATGGAAGAACATGGAAACTATTGCTTACCCGTATTAAAATCTTGTATTTCAGTCTTCAAACCTTTTTCTTCCCAAGAATCAAAGCGAACTAGCTTGAACAAGCTGTCAAAGTATATCTAAAAATGAAATGATATTTCAAATACATTTCATAAACGAACTGGAATATCTAATAATTCGTTTTTTCGACAATGAAACTAGTCTGTACGTGCAATATTTGTAAAGTTGTTAGATATTTGAGTTAATCAGATATAAAAAAAATCATCTTAGATTTGACAGATTTAAGTACTTTCAAAACTTCCTTTGTGATAATCAAGTATACAAGGCATAGATAAGATTGTTACGCTAATTTGGATTGATAATACAGGCCTGCGATAGTTTTATTGTCTTGAAATTTTTATATGTTCTACAGTAATTCCTGTACGCTGTTTTCTCCATCATGTACAGATTTTTCACAAAACGTCATAATGCAATACATAAAAGAAAGCCAACAGCACGTAGTTTTGAAACTAAAAGACATAGATTTCACACAAAAAATCAGGATGAATGAGGATGCATATTCTTTTGACATCAATGTTCTTCCATTTTCTTCAGTTTATTTGTATTTGTTAACAAACATGATATTAATAGAACATGTTCATTGTGGTAAACGAAATAGTAATTTGATCTAAGTAAGAATTTTTTCTTCCCGATTTGTAAAACATCCTTACGTGATAGAAAAAAATGAATATTATTATCGATTTGTTTGTTTAATTATGCACAAAGCTACACAAGGGCTATCTGTGCTCTGCCCACCACGGGTATCGAAACCCGGTTTCTAGCGTTGTAAGTCCGGAGACATACCGCTGTGCTACTGGGGGGCTATTATTATCGAAATCTGCGTTGTTGAATTATCAAAAATCGTTATTAAAACCAAAACCACTTTTATTAAGTTTAAATTCGCAGGCCTGTGTAATAGTGCTTATTTCATGATATAAGCAATTTTGTCGACATCATTAAGGTTTTAATATCCTACCACATTTAAAACTATTGTAGACTTCTACGTAGAACAGTTTATATAATAAGAAGATGGTTATTCAAAACTGAAGTATTTCTATTGAAATCATCTTCACGAAAATACTTCATATTTCAAACAAAAGTATAAAATATAAGTATTTTTTAAGAGTAACGTCAATTTATAAACATCATATATATGTATATATATATATATATATGTACTACCTTATAGAGATGAATGAAGGACTTTATGTGGTCTTCTTTTTCTTTCAAGCTGTACTCCTCTCCGAGATAGAAAATTTTTGACCCAATTTTTGGAACCGGCTTTACGTTTGTGCGTGTTAAACACCCAATCCCGACGGGAGGCTAAAATATTTAACAAACTTATTAACGATACTTTAACATGCAAGTTTGTTTAAGCAAGTCTATCAATACCGACGTAATTAATGTATCTTCTCAACTATACCAACAACAGAAGAACAAATCCAATCTCTTTCTCGTTAATAATATATCAATGAATTGATCAACTGATAAAATTCTTACCTTAGGTTAGAATACGATATTAAAAGTAATTTTTGATATTTTATTCATAGCACTTGTCTGATTTTAATTATTTTAGCTGACAATTAAACTCTGCACTCTTCTGCTGCTATGTTAGAAGTTTTATTGATGCAATTAACGCAAAAAAGTGAATATATAAATGTTCATGTTTAAGTCGTTTTATATTCAAATTTGATACTCCACAGTGTCTTTTTTTCCAATAATCATGAAGAATTACATAAAATCCTTAAAGCTGCCTTTTACAAATGTTTGTAAATTATTCTACCTATTTTTGTCTCCAAAACTTGTGCATTTTGTCGATATTTGTCAGTCTTATTTTACCATACTTGAAGGGGATATTTTTTTACATCAGATCTTTCAGTGTGTTTCCTTTTCTGATATTTCTAAGACTTGTATAAGTGCTCTTTTACTGACAGTTTTTACTTGTTATACGCCTCTTAAATGTGCACTATTTCCAACCATTCTTAGTTCTAGCAAATTATCTTTGAAGATTATCCTTTTTATCTTTTTAAGTTTTAGGTAAAAAATTGATGTCCTTTTCCCATATATGTTTCACTTGTATACAAATTGATCATATGTGCACTTTTTAGACTCAGTGCATAAAATAAAAATAATATTAATTTAATATTTTACAACATATATATATATAATCATTTTTACGAGAATTAAACTAATAATTTCACATTTTTCAATAGGAGGTTTATACATTTTCCCTAGAATTTCCTTATTAACTTGTTGTTCCATCGTTTTCACTATTCATAAGTTCAAAATATTATTCTTAAAAGTGACCTTTAACCAATCAAGTTAATCTTTATATATGAAGGTAACCTGACCATGAACTTTTATTAGCTTTTATGCGATTCTCATTGGTAATTTGTGATCGCACCTTATCCTTACTTTGGTAATTTTAGTTAATCTTTTTGCGTGATGAAAAAAACGACCATAATCTCCGGAATATGGTTTTATATATATTCCATTTACGACTTCATTTTTACGATTTCTTCAGAAGCGAACTACTACTTACACTGCTAGACTCACAATGAGAAACATTCTATATACACACTTTTAGGTTTGTTCTTTTTGCCAGTGGAGAGTATGGAACAAAGTCACGCCAATAATACTGTTTACATTGAAATAAAAAATATACAGCAACGTCAATATTATTATGACACGGATATAAGTGTACAGCCTAAGATTATAGTGAAAAATCACTTGAATATTGAATCTAAAAGATATATAGGACACTAAATAAACAAATTACAATTTAAAGAATAAAAAGGAGTGAAGTCGAGTTGAGGAGAAAATAAAGATCTCTGATCATAATGCCAACCGTATGTCGCGATTAATTTGTGGCAAAAATTTCGAAATATTTAAGGCTTTCTTAATATTTACGGTCAAGAAAATCATTAGCTGTAATAAGGATTTCTATTTGTAAAAGTCAGGCAGGTGTCGGTCTACCATGTTTTTCTGCATACTCGTCTGCTATGGCACTGACACCTTTGTTCAGTTAATTTAAGGCTCTTTCGATTTAAGGTATTAATCATCGTATGTCTATTTATACCCCATCAGTTAACTTATTTTTTCAAATCAAGATTTTATCCTTTTAATTATTATACATATTTTACATTTGTGTATTTAAGGCCTTGTATTTCTTTTTACGTCAATGTTGAAATTATTTTTACTTTCATTTTAGGCTGCACACTAATATTCGTGTCGTCAGACATTAATATTGCTCTATATTTATGTTTTGTTTTAATGTAAACAAGATTATACCCGTGACTTGTACCATACTTTCCTCTGGTTGTAGAACAAATTTCGAAGAGTATAAGTCCAATAGTGTAATTAGTAGGTCGCTCCTGAAGAAGTTGTAAAAACTAAACATTGAGTGAAGCAAATATAGCTCTGTTCTAGAGTTTATAGTCGTTTCTTCATAATAGAAAATGTCTTAGTTACTCTAGTTAGCACTTCGCAGTATATTTCTATTCTTACTATGCGATCTATAGCCCTAAATCTCAGTCATTATTGTTACCCAAAACAAATTACATATATATCTTATCCCGATTCTAGGTATCCTAGTCTCATTTTTAAATCTCAGAAGTTGGTTTAATCTAAATTTTATAAATTAGTTTTAAATCCTTAATAATGTCCCTTTGTGTGATAGCTTCAGTATTACTATATATTTCTCGAAGATATACGAGTGATTCTAAATATTTACAGTCATTCTAAGAATATCTACATTCAAACAATATATATGTATAAAGGTCGAAGTACAAATACAAAATTAAGAGAAACAAGAGTTCCTTTTCTTGTTGTATTTAATGAACTTCTGGTATATAAATATCTTAGTGAAAATTTGATATTTATGTACTTTTAGTTATATATCTAAGTCATTATATATCTAAGTATGACGGGCCATAACTAAAAACCAAAACGAAAACTGTTCCTAATACCAAGCAGATACATTCCATGAAATACAAATGTCATCTAGACTACCAAAATTGTAATTCTAGCGTTAGTCTGTTATTAGTAACACCAAAATTAATAAATGCCTAACAAAAACCAAAGATGAAAATATCCACAGTAAATATTTGAACAAAAAATCTTTTATTTTCGAGATACAGTAAAAAAGAAATAATTAGTTGATTTAAGCTCGCTGTAATGTATCACCAACAACACGAACAAGATTCGTTATTATTATTGTTATCTTTGAAAAGATTGGTAAACGAAGGTTGTTGTTGAAATAGATCATATAAATAAATACCTGAAAAACATTAAAATGGCGGACGTATGGAGAATACGCAACAAAGTCGAAAACTTGATCAAATTCGATTTTCTTTCCGTCAGACGTTGAAGTAATGGCATTACCATAGACAGAAACTCTGACAGGTATAACTTTGTTTAAACCATTTGCATTTGTCCAGGTTGGTTCTGAGAACAATTGAAGATAAAGAAACAAATAAAGATGGCGCCTTGCATTAACTTATAATACAAATAAATTATTACACAGTATTGATAATAATTATGGAAACGGTGAATAAGATGTGTACAAAATGCAAATATTATGACACTTCTTCCCCCTATTGTACAAAAATAAATTGCACCACAGCATACTCATGTATTGATAATTTACACATTTACTGTTTGTAAAAGGACCACTCAGACAGTGCACACTAACACAATGCTTATAAAAGTACATACAGTCATGCTATTCCTAATACTAGTATAGTGAATGCACTCATAGCTCTCAAGATAGAAATACTTCGTGACAAATGTATACAAATCAAAGCATGTGCTAGAGAAGACTATTCCATGCGACTTAAGGATTTGCTAAAAATACAAATATTGGAAGTTTTGAAACTTTGAAAGCAATTGAAGAAATATAGTAATGGGAAATACATAATAGGAAACCATTAACCAAATCAGTCTTCTATATAAAACGTTTGATGTTAACAAGCAAGCAAGATTACGAAATAAGAATTGACCAAACTCGAAATACATTGCATGAGTTAGATGTAAGCGCATTCCAGAATACAACATGAGAAGTAGAAACTAGTGGTTCTGCTTATTATCACTTAATAGAACTTTGAGAGAAAGCAACAAGTGGAAGAATATATGTAAAAAGGCCGAAATGAAGGGTGTAGCTGTTAGTGGGTGGTAGATGAAGGTAGGTTTGACCACTGGAGGGTGTAAATAACTTGACTTTTGGATGGAAGTGTAAAAGAAAAAAAGACTTGACTAATATAGGGTGACACAAAGTATAGAAAAGAATTGACTGTTAGAGGGTGGTACAGCAGAAAAAGAGAGGAAAGGCTTGACTTCAGGGTGGTGATGTGGAAAGAAGAAATGTTTTGAGTAATGAATGGGTGTAAGAAGAAGAAAATATTTGACTTTAGAATCTTGGCATAAGAAAAGACATATAAGTGAGACACGACACTAGTATGTACTGAAAATACTAGAAGAAAAATACAAATGCACATTCACTCAGCAAATCTAGACTTTATGTAACAGATTTCCTTTAAAATGTTGGCATAAAGTGTTTATAATATATGGCACTTAGATAAACCAGACGGTATATGCTGTGAGATGGAGATCGTTGTGTAGATGGGAGATTCTGTTTTAGTTAGTTGATATTTTACTTCGCTTAAGAGGAAGATATAGTACTTAGATTAAACTAGGTATTAGTTTGGATACGTTGTTCACCTGAAAAATACTTACTTAGATTAAACCAAGTATTGGTTTAGATACGTTGTTCACCTGAAAAATACTTACTTAGATAAAACCAGGTATTGGTTTAGATACGTTGTTCACCTGAAAAATACTTACTTAGATTAAACCAGGTATTGGTTTGGATACGTTGTTCACCTGAAAAATACTTACTTAGATTAAACCAGGTATTAGTTTAGATACGTTGTTCACCTGAAAAATACTTACTTAGATTAAACCAAGTATTGGTTTAGATACGTTGTTCACCTGAAAAATACTTACTTAGATTAAACCAGGTATTGGTTTAGATACGTTGTTCACCTGAAAAATACTTACTTAGATTAAACCAGGTATTGGTTTAGATACGTTGTTCATCTGAAAAAATACTTACTTAGATTATTAAACGTGACCAAAAGTTATTGTAATTATTTACAAGATTATTGGATTGGAGAAGATCATAAGATATTTTACAATCTAAAGTGTACAGTGTCTGCAGATTGGAGAGAAGAGTAAGGAAAATTGTAAAATTAAACAATATAAATTATTGAAGAAAGATTACTCACCAGTAAAGTAATATTCTATGGTTACTTCTTTGTTCGCCGGGTCTTGGTGCGACCACATGTTGCACTTAATTCCTCGTATATAAGTAGAAGCCACATATTCCTAGTAAACCACAACACATACTTAAAACCAATTCCAAGTACTTTATAAATACTCGTCAAGTATTTTGATACTGTTCCTTGAAACAGTAGGGTAAAAATGTTCAGAAATTACAATATCACTAGAATTTAACATAATGGATAAAGACAAACGACGTACATATCATTAGACAGGTGTGAATTTCACAGAAAAACTGTTTTCAAACAAGCTGTTACACCAGTAAGTTTCATAAAGGATCCAACGTCAGATTTTTGTTATTTTAATTAAAGTGTTTAATATTCCTTACCTAAGTCATTTCGGATACTATAAATTTGGTGAACAAAATTAAATAGCTAATATATATCTGTAAATCTTAATTTACCTAAATTTATTCCCATTTATCAAGAACGTGTATAAAACGTAAATGAAATTTTGAAGGTCTCACAACTAATGCAGGGTCACAAATGTTATTAATTTCTTGATGAGAGAAGTTAGACCATAACTTCAGACGCATACAGTGATTGGCTGCCTAAGACGATGTGGAGGAGAGGAGAGCTTGAGACCAGGAGATCACGTGGTGTCAAAGTTATACGAAGTGGCACCAGAGGGCACGTTATTAGGAGCGCATTGCTAGGAGCGGAAAAATGTGGAGGATAGTTATTGATCTCCATAGTCCAGCAGAGGGCGTGTTACAAAAGGGCAGAGAAAATGAGGACCAAAGTATAGGACGATGAAGTAATCTATGATGGTTGCGCAGTTGCGTGGTTAATGAGCAAACCACTAGAGGGTGTTGTAGATCAACAGATATTGGTTAGTGAGCGAACCACTGGAGGGTATTGTATTAACGTGATTAAATTGATATTAACGTGTCCCATAAAGTGATTACGTCATTAACTTATAGTTTTCACTTCAATAATCAGTTTCAAAAACCAATATTTCATATAACTGACATAACATGCTTTCTACAGGTACACTAGTTCATATTATAGATATATACTTCTGAAAAGGACTATTTTGTATTATTTTATAAGTAAATTATTCAGATATATAACGCCTGTTTCGCTAATTATGAAGTGCTGTTTGACTTTACTGATTACATATATTCTTACATTGTCACTCTACGGATGTAGTAATATAGCCCTCTTTTACATATAGTAAGTCTAATTTTAACCACATATAATTACTATATTCATGCTAGAGTTAAACCTTTTTGTAAGATTCAGATAGGGTTTATATTTTCCTGTTTAGAATAAATATTGTTGTTTATTCGTGTAGCAATCTGCGAAAACAAATGTTGAACTGATCACGAATCAGTTACATTATAATAGAGAGTGCATGTCGTTTTATATAGGTTTTACAAAACTGTTTTACGTGTTAACATTCAATACTCAGACATAAATCGCATTCCATTCATGTACACATACTTACAATCTACTTGATCATGAGACCAAACGTTTTCTCATTTTAACAAAGTGTTCAAACTCTACAAAAATTTTATATAACACTAACTTTAATGTAGTACAGTTTGACTTTATGGTTTACACACACATTAGATGATCTTATAAATAATCAGAGGACTATTTTAACCTAAAGCGTTGAAACTGTACCCCTTACTATTATAGAAATTAAGCGAAGTAGTTACACTTATCATTTTAGTCACTACAATTTTCTCTTTTAAAGTACAAAATACTAGATTGCTGAGGTAGTTTGTGTGTATAATGTTTTTATATCTGACGTAATTTATTTCTGGGCAGCAGCAGCCTGTGTAGTGAGAGTTGGGGAAAAACTTATACAGCAGAGCTTTCAGAATACTATAACTTAATTTGGGGCACTCACTGTCCTCAACCACATAATGAAGGCTATTGCAATGAAGCTGTACAAAACTATTGGTATCATTAATAAGCTAATAAACAACGTTTTGAAGCCGAAGAAGGATCATATGCCCAAAGTTTTCAAGCTATAGACAAACCTCAAAATCAATGGCTGTTGTTATGAGAAAAATTGTTGAGGTAAGTGAAATAATAGTAATTATGTTTATCACATATTTTTCAAATCTCTGATGCAGCTCCAATATATTTTTGTGGCTTTGATCGTCTTAAATGGTTTTTGAAAGCCGTCCTACTAATTGGAGGGCCTGTAGAAATTTTGTCAAACTACCTGTTCTAATATTGACTTCGCTAATCATTGCAGAAAAACATTACAGTTGCAACTGCGGAATCAGATAGCAGTGCGTGATTATTGCATTAGGATGAGCAAGATGAACATTGGAGAATGCATGGCAAGGGGACCTGAAACATCATTCTTATAAAATTTGATTAACTGTAGTATTCTCTTCATAATTAGTATGTAATCAACCAAAACGACACTGATGGCGAAAGAAATATCCACTATATTGGTGTGAAGCTAATAATACGAACGAAGAAGAGAAAGTACTTCACATGAGATATTCCTACATGTATACGTATGTAGCAATCGACCTAACAAGAAGTTTGTATTGCAGAGTCTAACTTCCAAATTTTAACCCCAAATGGAAAGAGTTTGGAATTAATAACGCCATGGTGCACTTTATTTACTAAGCCACACAAGACAAAATATGCAAATACTACACTAGTCTTTCAGTGGGTGCTGGGTGTGTTCATTGAGTAAAGTGCAGTTGTAATTTTGATCAGAATAAACTCTGCCGAGAACGATATTCACTGAAACATGGCTAATTATCCCAACGTGCATTGTCATTGTGTATTTATGGCTAGAAAATCCATTAGTACAAAAGGCAGTCACTTTAACCGTAGAATAACCTAGAAATACGAAGGGAAATAACACATGGCAATATATGATTGATCAAGAATAAGACCAACACATTTCAAAACCAGTTATAAACACGTTGTTCGAAAACAAGCATGAATGTTCCATAATGTTTGAAATTTCCATAAAAAGAAAATGTTCGCCTTTCTAAGCTAGAAGAATAAGAAACAAATGATGTTATTTTTCAAATATCACAAGCATGAAAAATAAAACTCGTTTTATTAATAATATAAGTTATTTTAGTTGCCACAGAACCTTAAAAATTAAAAGGCTAAACTAACTATATAGCACAAACGTATCATAGTTGCCTCCTACTAGTTACAGCTAAAATAGCCTTACCGGTTTATTATCCAGTGCCTTACGAAGTATTGCTGATGGTCCAATCAGCAAGTGACCAGGTCTATGATCTAACCACCCCCAGAAAAAACTCTCGTAGTTAAGGAGTGCACTCGTGATGTTTATAACTGTACAGGTATTGTCTGTAATTTGTTAGATATAGAAAAACATTATGTATTCTTGATTGTCAATTAAAATGTGAATCATTATTTTGTGTTTAGATATTCTTATACCATAAAATAATCTGCTAAAACAATCGTACATTCAGCTCGTTTAACACTAATAACACAAAATTGGTTGGACATATATATGCGTAGTACAAACTTTTAGCTTACGACTCCATCTCTTGACCTATTTCAGAACTAATTACACCGCGGCCGGCTACTGAGAATTATTTCTTGTTTAAACTTGTTTTAGTATCAAATTGTGGATTTATGCTTATTTATTATACGTTGTTGGCATTTATGGGCTGTATCTATATACATATAAAATATGTGAAACTTTGAGCTTGATTCTAATAAATATCATGATTTTCTACGTTAAAGGAAAGCGTAAAATAAAGCTAGAAAAACTGAATCCTCGAACGAGTAATATTCTAATAATAATTAGTTAAGTAGATTCAGCATTATATATATTTCCTAATAGAAGTCACTTTTCAATGAGATTTTTTTGACAAATGCAAAATATTTACGCGAGTAAATTAAATTAGTTCTGAAGAAGAAATCAATTCTTGAATTATTCAAAACCTAGTCATTCTGTGACATCTATTATCTTTTTTTTTCAGATTATCCATATTGCTCTTCCTTATAAGGACATTCTCATATACATGTACCGAGGTTTGAGAACCACTTGTATAGAGGGTGGTTATAAATTCACAAGGATTAGGATGAATGTTGTATGTTTTGTTTTTAGAATTTTCTTCAAAGCTACACAGCTACACAAAGGACTGCCTGTGCATACCTGTCCCTAATTTGAAACTTACAGACTAGATGGAAGGCTACTAATCAACAGCACTCCTCGCCAACTCGTGAGCTACTCTTTTCTGACCAAACAATGAATATGACTATTGTGCAAATGAGAATTCCAATTTCAGAACACATTAAACAGGTTGTATATCATGTTGGAAAGTTAATCTTTGTAGATTATATGATATCATGGTTGAATTTTTATCTGCTTGTATTGAATCAATTTTTACCCCCCCCCCCAATGGAACTATCAGTATAACTAGAATTAAAATAATTGTTAACACATTTAAATTATATAAGTAGCTCATGCATGGATTAAAATTAATATTCATATGCATCATTATACTTGCACTAGATACTCTGAACAATGTACATAAACCCGTAGTTAGGTTTCAAGTGTAAGTTACATAATAGGCTATATCCATTGTGTTCACTCAACAGTTTTAGCATTATAAGCTCTCATGCTTAACGTTGTGTATCTGGGAAAACATAAAATATAAAACAAAAACACAAAAATATCAACAGTTAACATATTTAACTTTCAAACAATATTACTTTTAATTTATAAATTGAAAATCATCTAAACAATAACGATTTTCATGGCAATAATCTATAAAACATAGCTATTGTACTATAAAAACTTGTAGATGTTCAATATTTCCGTTGGTTAAGATGTTCTTCTTAAGATTTAAATCATCACCCTTGTCATAATTGGATTACGTTAACCTTTTTGGTATATGTTAGAATTACCTTCACTGTGCAAAGCAATTTAAGTATGATTGGATTTTATAATTTTTAACTATGCCTATCTAAAATTGAAATAATAAGTCAATAGGCATACTTTCACAAATGAATATTTATTAGAATTGTCTTTACACATATAATTGATGAGATTTCTTTAACTATGGACTATTGTGACGACTAAATGCAAGATCAATGTAGTACCAATGCTTCAACTTTAAAATTACAATAATGATAAGATACTGAGACATACTCAATCACTTCCACGCTAAGGACCCTAGTGATGTCCTTGGTACTGTACCGAGCCAGGTGTGAGGGTCTACCTTGGCAACGTGCCGGAACAGCTACACCATTGGTTTTTAAACGGTTACAGATTATGTTAACGACACTTGTAGCCAGTTAGTAGCAATGTGCTATTTCTGATCACTTTCATTCTCGTCTCATTATTTTCTATACAAGTGAAGCGCCCAAATATCTTTCTTTGGGATCTAGCCATGGCTAATTAATAATTAAACTCTGTGATTTACTTCAAAATTACAATTGAGACAAACCTATGTGATATTACTATTTACAGCATAGATATTTCCGATCAAGTAACTGATCATCAGTTGCCTGGTTTTCATAGAAATGAACTGAGTGAATGATTAAATTACTTTTGTAACAGTAATTTACCTTGTCACAGATATGAAAATATTTCAATTACACTTTAATAGTTTTACAGTTTAGCAAAATACATAAATATTACAAAATCCATTTGTAACAACCAATAGCGTATCTTTCTACAAGGTCAGGCAGATGTATCTCACTGAAAGTAAAATTGATTATATGTTTATTGGAACTTCTTCAATAACTATAGTTAAACTTACCCATCACACCCATCATCTGCATAGTTTCTTTGTCGTACACTAATGTTGTATGCTTTCCATCAATCATCAAATCCAGTCTTCCTCGTTCTGTAACTTCTTCATAATACTCAGTGACATATACGGAAGAGTTCTAGCAAAATTAAAATCTGACGAATTATAATATACTAAATCTAATATTTTTAACGATCTGGATATAAAAACGAATACAAATATTTCGTGACACATTTATTTATTTTTTGTAGAAAACATCATGACTTTGTCTACTAAATAACTCAAACTGTTCCATACAAAAAAAAGAAAAAAAGAGATGAAGAAGAAAAAAAACGATATTGGTAATATGGAAGTAACATTATGTTAGCAATCACTAGACTCTCTTGATGGATAATGTTTACATTATGAATATTCCTGAGGATAAACAACAATTGACAAATCGTTAGTCTGCTGATTGCTATCATCATGTCGGTCTTGTACTAACATACTTTGACTTTCTGATTTATAAGGTTATTCTTATAGTATTTCGTAGAGTGAATTTAGACCAAGATTTATTTTATGGATTACCAGTAGGAATACACACACTTATAGAAGACCTAATGCAAAGATGTTATACAATATAACATAACAACTTTTACCTATGTTGCTTTAGAGGTATGTATGTATTGAAGAGAAGCAGGATGTATTTTAACATATCTGCCAATCGGAGCATGGAGTTTTAGTATTTTTTTACAACTAACTTATGAATGGATTTGGACTAACACAAGTTAAGTATGCTTTTTTTACAGAATTTCTAAGTTATAGCATATTATTGCGAACACCAAAAACGGCACGTTGACGATAGGTAACACTCAATGACAGTGTTTTAAATATACATAGTAAACCTACTAAGCTGGCCTTGAATTTATTTTGTCATCTAAGTATTATTTTAGGCATTGCTACTCAGACGTGATGGAAAATACATTAATGTTCAATACAAAACTAATGTAGTAAATGAACCCTTTCATGTGAAAAAATTACAGCTTTAATCCGTTTCTTAACACTATAAGAAGTAAGACATATAATAAAGTTTAAATATTTTGAAAAATAAGAGAACTATAGTCAACTAACACTATATATTACTTTTAGTTTACTTCATTGTATTTTAACAAACTTTCTATAGCCTTACCTCAGGGTTTATGGACACTTCTACAGTCGACTGGTATGAGCCATAAGTTATACGTTCGATGTTGGGGAATTCTGGATCAGTTTTATCAGCTAATCAAAATAAATAAATATACATCAGAGCAAGGCAAAGGTGAATAATTATTTAGATTAGATTTTACTGTAAAAAATCGTGAGATGCTTAGTTTACTGCAAAAAAGTTAAGAAACATCAAATTGTTTAGATGCTTTTATTACTGATCAAAGTAATTACAGTGTCTCGCCAGTAAATGATTTCAAAATGAAAACAGAATATGATTTCCTGGAATAACATTTGCGAAATGGAACAATTTCTATATATCTGTGAATTAAATCCCTAAGGCTAGAGCTGGATCTAAATCAAGAATCCATCCTCGAGATTTTGACTGTTCCTTTGATTAATTAAAGTAGCTGAAATGCAGATATTTTTTCTCTTGCAGTTGTTTGTTTGAAGTTAAGCACAAAGCTACACAATGGGCTATCTGTGCTCTCCCCACCACGGGTATCGAACCCGGTTTCTAGCGTTGTAAATCCGCAGACATACCGCTGTCACAATTGTTAAGACAGTTGTATGTAAAAATAGCCTTCAGGTTTATCTTCTGTTTCACAGCTCAGAAGGTCCTTCATTTTATACTACAGCTCAACAGTTAAGCTGAAGAATAAAAAAACAAACAAAAAATAACGTTTATCATTTTTATCACGGATATTAAGCTTATTGGATTCCGATGCTTTGTTAGATTTCGGTTCATATTAACTCATATCTAGCTTATATTTCATTACCTCCCTATTGTGTATAAAGGCGGTTTATTAATGATTTATTGTATGTTTCTGTCTGTTGTTTTTAAAAGAAAGTGATAATTTTTCACTTACCTATTATTTGTTCTACACCTATCAAACACGTGACAAGAAGTGACAGTCTAGTAGCTCTGACCAGCTGCATTTTGAAAGATTCTAGGTGGTAAAAATAGAGTAAATTATTGAAAAGTTGCGAAACTTACATTTATCAAAGTGCTAACTTCCTAATATAGATGTTTTTTGTAATACTTTAGTATAGAATACTTTAAACACAAATATTTCTTAAAGTTAAATGGACGTTACATGGCTTCTTAGCAAGTTGAATAGAAATGTAAAAATGTCTTTCTGAATATTCCTTTTTTATTGTCATGATAAAAAATGATCAAAAATCTTGCTTAAGAAATTGCTATTATTAATATTTAAGTTAGCGTACACTTTCGTTAAGGTATAGCAGTTAGTCGGCAAGTTTTTGTTTTTTAAATGTGCTAGTGAATTAGCCTGATTTCGCTTACAAAATTGGCACTGGAAATCATTTATTGGAGCCTAACTAAGAACAATTGCTTACTTAAATGGTATTCACAATGAATATATTACATTTGTTGTTATAAATGATGGCTTCTATATTTTACGTTTTCTTATATTTTTTGTGATTCTGCTCACCTTAAATATATATACTGTAACGTTCAGAAAACGTCCTAAAAACTTTGCGTGTTAATATCTAGCTTCTATATTAGTTGTTAAACGTTTCTCAAAAAGAGGTTTATTAGATAAAATTCCTCAAAATATCTTACAATTTTTTTTTTATTTCACGAACTCCTGAAACTACGATAAACTATGGAATTATTATAAAGAAAGATTTATATATTAGTATCTGAATTGTTTACACAATTTGTATGGAAGTAATTGTAATAGCGAATCTTATTCTCTAAAACTATAAAATTATAATAAGATAGTTGCTGTAGATATTTGGTTAAGGCTTCACTCTAATATATTACCGAATTTTCCTCAAGGAAAAAAATAAATTTATCTGGTTATCCTAAAATGTTTACATGTGGTTTGCTAAACAGAAACAATCAAATTTTCGAATTCGTATAAAATATTATAAAATTATCAGTGTTTAACTAATGGATAATTAAGTATAATAGCTAGTAAAGAAGAGTTTCAGCTTTTATTGTAATCTAATTGACAAAACGAACTCACTTCTCCTGTAATTACGATAGTAGCAAATACGATTCACTACACCTAAGATGAAAGCTTTAGTCTCTTTTTTTTCTTCTGATTCCTAAAGAGAACATAACCAACTTACATTCAAGTTTTTCTATCACCATCCAGTCACACAAGAAAATTGAATGTCTATAGGATCTCCTAGCTGAGCCTAAACAAACATTAACTTTGTTTAGAAAGTGCACAGAAAACAGTAGTTTTAAGTTTCTCAGATTTACACAAAATCCTTTGTCACACAGACTTCGTTTGGTGTCAGAAGAGGAGTAACACACAAGATAGGCCTGTGATAAACTTAGAATACTCCCACCACGAACTTTGGACAGTACATCAACAAAAGATAACATTGACTGCCAAACAATCTAAAAACAATATAATTAAATTGAACAATAAGCATGAAGGATATATTATTTATACGGTGGTGGTATTTAAAATATTATTAACATTATACAAAACAGATTTACATGCGTTTAACGCTGACAATATAATTTTTATGGCCTTTCAAAGTGAAAAAATATAATATTTGTAGTTCTTACATCCTTGAAAATATATTTTAACGAATGTTTTATATAATAACTTTCCCTATGCTACACACATTATTTTTTCTACTTTATCTTTGATGAGTTTGTTCACTGAGATTATGGACTATTAATATTCTTGAAATCATAAAAACTAAACGCCCTTGGATGTTTATAATCTTTCAATAATCCAATTACAAGGAGAGTAATGTGTGCAGATCCCAAAATATTTAACGTTTGATTGCAGGATTTATTTCACTATCTTTTTCGTTTTCAAAAGTATTAAAATAATAAAACCTGCAATTTTCTAGATGTATTAATGAATATTATACGAAGCCCAGCAAGCTTAACTTTCATGTTTTTAAATTATGAAGTTATAGCTTACACTGTCTTATATTTTAATAACAGCATTTTTTTGCCATTTGTAGTGGAGATATGCGCTTTAAATAATAGCAACTGTGTTTGGTAGCTGACAGCTCCTAGTGTTTAGTATGTTTTAATTCGTGTAATTACGTATAAAAAGTATTAGTTCATTATCCTTGATGATGATTTGTATTGTATTATTTTCCTCTGGCCATAGAACGGCGCTTCTGTTATGGAATGTTTCATAATCCTTAAATTATGTTAGAACGTGTTTAGTTTTAAAACAGATTTGTGATTAATTCAGAACTAAACTGACTTGACAGATTATACAGTATCATTTTGTACACTAATCTTGACGGATCAGGTAGTTTGCGGTTTCATTAACCAACTTTACTCTATATTTTTAGCAGTCTAAGCCAAACATTTATATTGAACAATATTGGTTATAAAGTCTAAGTAAAAAAAAAAGTTGTATTTTCTCTATAAACCTGCAAAGTATAGAAAAATTCCGAAGCTCTGATTGAACTTTCTGAACTCAGCGGTAAGTCTGAAAGCTTGTCACGCTAAAAACCGTGGGTAGGGAACAGCACAGATAACCCATTGTGTAGTTTTGCGCTTATCAACAAACAAACAAAAAGCGCTCTACAAAGTTTTTGCATCTCAGGAAATTAAAATATTGAACTGATTTTATATTTATTGTTTCATGCTTGCAATAAAGTCATTAATATAAATTATTTCCGAATTAAGTGTAAGACACAATAAAACAATCATTAGTTCAAAGGGAGGGGGTATGAGTATTAATCTAATACTCTATGTCTATTTAGAGAAATGAAATATTTCAAGAGTCTACAAACAATACTTTAACGTGAAAAATGTCCAGATGTCATTTGGATCAATTAAATCTATTATTCTTTATAAAAGTGTTTAAATTCATAGTTAAATATTAATTCAATACATTTTGAAATTTTGTAAAAATCCCCAATACATTTAAGTGAAGTAGTTTAGCGTGGGGCTAAAACAAAGGAACAAATTATAGATACTTAAATAAATGCGATTAGAAGAGAGAAAACCTGTTTATGAGCGTACAAAACAACAACATTTATTTTATCATGCAATATGGGTACTGATTAAATATTTGAATTAAACATAGGGAAGGTAAATCGGTAAACATTAATAGCGGCGAATTACACAAATATTTATTTCAATACTGTATTCATTATGTAAAGAGTAACAAGTAAAGTTTTATCATGTTTTAAAATGATATGGATGCATCTCTGTTTTTGATAGCTTTACAAACTAGAACAAACAAGTGATTTAGAGAGAAATTCTCAAATAAGTTTAAATTAAGTGGAAAAACTTGCTTACTTGATCAAAGTGACAACGCCCCCTGTTCCAGTTTTGATTGTCTCTTGATGATAGCCCTTTTAGATAACATAGAAAATACGTTTTACTGACTTGTGTAAGATGATAATGAAACAAACATGTTTCTAAACTTTATGATAAGGATATTAAGTCGAGAATTGCCTGAACAAACAAACAAAAATAATCATTTCCTGCGTGCGTTTTAGTAACAACCTATGACCAACAAATATGTTAAGTCTATATTTACAAGCATAAAGTGTGTAGAAGAGTATCATTGTGTAACAGACTAAAACAGGGTTGAATAACAACAACAGAAAACGAATTTATTAAACTTTGACAGACACAGAAATCCAAAATAAAACTTTGAAACAGTTGGAATACAAAGTTTATCACCTACCAAAAACACAGTCCTGGCCAAGACTTGGTACTAACATTAATTAACAATAAAACATAAATATCATTGCTAATAATCATTTCAATAAATATAGTAATTAGGAAAAATAACCATAAAAAATAAAACACAATATTCCGAGCTTAAACAATTTTAAGATCAATAACAATACTGAGTAACATTCAACAATAATACGTTTTACTATATTTCGTAAACTAGCTTATTTAAGCTTAAGGCAGGGTTTTATTTAGTGATTAGATCACAAGATTAAATCTCATGCTCGTCAACGCTAGGAAAAACTTGTGTCAGTTTCATAATACAAACATACTCAAATTCAACATTCTCTAGCTAGAAGTTGAGTTAGCACTTTAATATAACTAAAAATTCATAGTTGAACTAAACAATAGAAGGAATAATAAATCAACGATAAACAAAATTGATGTAGAACTTGCTATCTCAAAATAACTATAATATAGTTTATGCCGTTTGTTTAATGTCAACTTTCTGAAGCATTATACGGTTGTAGCTAACTCTTCGTGAGAAAAAAAAAAGACAAGTTCACCTATTTAATATTTTAGTATTGACGTCATAATTTCATTAAAAATGAAATATTGCAAGTAGTTTAATGTTTCTATAAGCAAACATTTCACTTTTCCAACTGGTTTAAGAACTTTAACACTAATTATCTTCATTTGAGCTTTGTTGTAGTCAGAAAGTATTAATGTTGAAGTATTACTTTATAGAAATATTCTATACATTAGTTATTAAATAAATCAGAATGATAAACAACCAGTCTGCGTGTTCTATCTTATACATTTTGATTCTGAAGAAACGTGATTTCAAAAGTTGCACGACCTCGAAATGCCATCTCTTGATTATAATTGTTATCTAATATGATACAATAACTTACCAGATTGTTTTGCTTCAATAAACTTTAAGTCAAATACAGACACCAATAAAAAGGAATACTATTGCATAAACTATTTAATTACAAGTAGGTTCTCTAGGGAACAGAAAATTATGTTGCTTTGAGAAATAAATAAATAAGTTTAATTAAAATCTTATATTGTTTATCTTAAGGGCAAAGCTACACAATGGACCGTGTTCAATATTTTTGCGTTATAAGCCCCTAGAACTTATCCTTAAACACTGGGGGATTAGAAAATTACACAGTGAGTTTATTTTCGAAAAACTATCAGTTAAAAGTAGAATAAAACTAAAAATACAAATCAGGTAAATGAGTGTGTGTGTTTTCTTATAGCAAAGCTACATCGGGCTGGCTATCTGTTATTTTCACCGAGGGAATTCGAACCCTTCATTTTAGCGTTCTAAGTCCGAAGACTTACCTGTCCAAGGGGGATTAGGTAAATTAAAGTGATAAAAATGAGTGAAAACATCCAGTGTATAATAAATATTTTTTTATAAAATAACTGTTGGGTTGATAGAAAGATATTTCAATATCTATAAAACAAGAACTAAATATTTTCTAAATTAAGCTTCTGGAAAAAAAAATACAATAAAATTAAATCTCTAAAGAGGAACATTTGTTTCGATAGCGATGATTTTTACTTTCGGTTAAAGTTTACAGTGGAAGCAACTGCAAATCTGCATGCGGATTACTCGAGACCCTCCGCTATACGGTGCAAACTGACCATATGTATTTTAGTGACTGAACAAGCTCTAGCTATAGATTAAGTTATAATCTCAAATGTCAATAAGTGTATTATAATAATTCCAATGATATCTTATAATCAAAAATATATATCATAAGTGTATAGGCTCAAGGCTCGAACCATAGAATGACACTGAACACGCTCTGCGCTTTCAGCTGTAGGTGAGTCCTAGCACTGACATCCATAGACAGTCAAGAGTAACCGTGTAGGTGACATGTGCTGTTGGTCAGAAGTTCTAAATTAAGAATGTCATATCTGAATCTTAAGTTTTCTGATTTGGAAGCATTACTAAAAATCAAAAGAAATACCAAACTCCAAGTTCACAACTCTAAATAAGTAAATTAAGATAATTATTAAACCATTTATTGTTATTTTATCCATCTAGTGGTAATAAGGGAAACTTCTTTAGTATAGACGACGTTGCCATGGTAAACACAATGCCAGTGTAAGTAATTTATGAGCGCCAGTATTGATTTTACATAGATAAGTGTTGGGGAAACATTCATTCACAGTAATGTGTTCTTCTAGAGAATACATCGGTAAATATTCTATTGAATAGATTTGTTAGACTTCTTTTAATTTTGGTTTTAGCGTAGTGTAAGTTGTTCATAGGGGAATTTTTCATATACTTTGACTTCATGGAAATCCACCGATAGCAGAATTTCTAAAACTCTATGAAATGAGTAGTAGAAGTAGACAGCAAACCTAAGAGAAACTTACAGTAGATAGATATGGGAACTTAAATGGTGTTTCTTGATTTCCTTGACTGTTTTGATGGGCTGTATATTTAGCAAAGTATCCCCCGCGATAATAGTAATGGAAAAAGATGTCACATCAGAACAAGCCAAACAAATGGATTTATCTTTTGAAGGAAAACTGCAGTCAGACCGAACAGAAGAATATATAGTGGACAGCTTTATCACAGAGAACTCTACATTTGTGACTGGAGAAAATGATGCTTTGTCAGTAAGTGACAACACTGCTGAAGACTTACTTCAGGTAAAGTTTTTATTCCATTACAAATACCACGAAATAGAAGAACCACTAAAGCATATAATGTTTTAATTAAGGTGTTAATAACTATCTTATATTAGAACAAGGATCCAGAACTAATACTTATACTCATATCATATACAACTTTACATTGTACCTTTCCTTATAGTATAAGAAGTACAATCCATGCCTATCAAAATCCTGTTAAGATGAGAAATTAAAGCTGCTGTTTATTATTATATAGATGCTTGAATACATTATAATAAAACGATTTTGAAGGCACACTATATCGTTACATACATTTATGCTTTACCTAACGAACATGCATCATAACAATATACCTGAATCGGTGTTTCCATGTCGTCCACAAAACACACCACATCTTCCACAATCCATCTGCCAGAGATATACAACGGTTGAACATCAGGAATGACTGGAAGCTGTATCTTGGTGAACCCATACCGCATCAGCTTTGTTTCCAGATGGATATCCCTTTTTGATTATGTTGTGTAATGCTGCTTAGGAGAAGTGGACGGCGTTTGGCACTGACCTTTTGTGTTCGTAGTCTCTAATCCATTATAAGACACCCCATAAGTTTTACATGCCCCGAAAAGAATATATATATATATATATATAACCATCAACTGTCGCGTAGACCTTCATTTCCTCTTGAGCAAAAGGCCCAGTTCTGTTTATATGACAGTTGTGCAGGTCGTTGTAGGACAAATCAAGACAGTTTTAATATAATATTTTCAGCAGTCAAAAAATAAGGATCAGGGAGATTTATTGAATCATTTGCAATACTCAGTTTATCTAAATATCTACCTTTCTCACCTCGAATTAAACCTTAAAGATAACTGGGTTTTTTTCTCCGTGACTTTCATTGTTTATTCTGATTATCTTTATCACGCATGCGCAGTGAAAAGCAATGAAATTCCAGATGTAAATAGCAACTATGTCAATAACAATAACAGACACTTTGAAAGCAACTATTCCTAATTATCTAAGATTCGTACAATATCATTAAGTTTCGGCTACTAACATTACTGTAATGAAAGCCTCTATGTAGGAAAGTTTCAGTTCACAGATGATGAGCGCTTCGGCTGCGAAGTTATGTAATAAAAGCAGAGAACTAAAGAAAATAATGTTTTATAAATCTAGTTTAATAATCTATGGCCATTATCATACATCGAATTTATTTTATTTTTTCTCGAAAACTCAACAGTAATTGTCACTCAATTTTTTCCTGTCTAAGCCTAACCTATTAATACCAAGCTAATTTTGTACAAAAGTAAATAAAAAGTGTAACTATGAGAGCAAGCCATAGTATTCTTTACTTCTGAATAATTTCAAAATTTCTTTTGTTTTCCTGATATTGATTATATAACATACAACTCCAAGATTTCAAGCATGAATTTTGGACCTAGAGCCCCAGAATCTTTCATGCTAAGAAAATGTAATAAAAAACACTTTAGATGTGAAAAAAAGGTGTGGCCAAAAACAGATTGAGCAAAAAACGCAGCCTGGCTAACTAATGAATGGATATTTGCTGTAAAATCCTTATCAATGCTGTAAGTGTAGCTACCAGTTTGGCCACCAATTTTGATTTTATTCCTTTAGGTCGTACCCATTTTCACACCTAAGTTACTTTCAATTAGATATCATGACTTTTTGTCAATACACAGCAAGTTAGAAAGTGACACTCGATAGTAACCAACATTATGATTAAGATCGCAACTCTGTTATTCGGAACAGACCCATATTTTACAGCACCAACTAGATTCTTTAAAATATATGGTGGTAG